TACAGGGGAATTAAGGAAAGCTTTTTTCACCCAGAAGGTCATGTGCAGAGCTAGAATGTACTGCCTGGAAGGGTAGTTGAGGTAGGAAACCTCACAAATTTTAAAAAGTACTTGGATGAGCACTTTAAATGTCATACCGTTCAACACAATGGGCCAAGAGCCGGAAAGTGAGATTAGTGCAAATTTCGAATAGTTTTCTTTGTCAATGCTGATTTGATGAGCTGCAGGGTCTCTTTTGCACTTTATGATTTTATAATTCCATGACTTTAAGAATCCTACCCGCATCTTCTGCTTCCATGCAAATGTTACTTTGTACATTTCTGACAGGTCCTACCCTTTACTTTGTTTTCCTTTTGTTGTTAAAATGTTGATAAAACATCAAAGAGATTTCTTTGATCTAAAGTGCCAATATTTTGTCATATATTCTCATTGCTTTCCTAGTTTAAACTTCACTCCTGCGCTTTCTAGACTCCTCTAGACTTTCAGCAGCAACTTTAAGAACTTTTGCCTTTCAAAAACTCTATTTTTCTGATTTTCTGATCCCGTATGTTCTGGATAACCAGTGGGTGTTAAACTCAGCAGTACCGGCTCTATCCTTTGTGTCAGTAAGTCTACACTGCTCATTGAATCTCGCCTTGGAATGCCTTCCACTGATTTGTCACTAATTTCCTTCAAGTACTGTATCCACTCCACTTTCGCCAGATCACCGATCAGCTCTTTAAAATTTGTTTCTTTCCCCTGTGTTTTTCCCCTAATTTAGCAATTTTACTCCTGTCTTATCTCCTTCCTTTGCCATAATGGTGCTAAATTTAATGTTATAATGTTCACTGTCACTAAAATGATCATCTACTGCTACTTCAATAACTTGCCCAGCTTCATTTGCTAAGACTAAATCTCAAATTGTGCCCCCTTTCATTGGGCTTCTTAGAATTATCTTGTCTGCAGTTCAAGAATTTTGTTGCCTCTTTGCCTTTTACGTTGTTTGATTCCCTGTTAATATTAGGGTGGCTGAAGTCTGCAACTATTGTCTTATTATGTCTGCAATCAGAAATTTGCGACATATAACATAGGACGTTGAGGGGTGATCTTATAAAATCATGAGGGGCATAGATATGGTGAATGACAAGGGTCTTTTCCCTAGAGTGGGGGACATATTTTTAAGGTGAGACAAAGATTTAAGAAGGACGAGGGGCAACTTTTTTACAGAGTGGTTCATGTATGGAATGAATTGCCAGAGAAAGTAATAGATGCAGACACATTTACAGGTAGTTCTCCCGTAATATGATGGTTGCGTTCTTGTGTGACCTCGCGCTATAGAATATCACCATTGAAAATTGCGTTATAGGGAATTCCCTATAGAAAATCACTATACTGTACAGTAGGAAGTTTGCATTATCCAAACATTGTCCACTATTCATCAATCACATTACAGCCAATTCGCATTAACAAAACACACGTTACAACAGAAATATCTGTATGATGTTTAAAAGACATTTGGATAAGTTCATGACTAGGAAAGGTTTGGAGGGATATGGGCCAAGCACAGGTGGGTGGGATTAGTTTAGTTTGGGAAGATGGTCAGCATTGACTGGTTGGACCGAAGGATCTGTTTCCATGCTGTATGACTGCATGACTCTAATGATGTGCTCTCTCATCTCCTTCACATTAAGTGGGTATGTTATAGTCAATCCAAGAAGCATAGACACCATCATTTATTTCTGAGCTCAATCTATATGGCCTCATTTGATGATTCAATTAATATATCATCCCCACATACCACAGTAATAGATTCCTCACCTTTTTCATCCCCTTCCCGTCCTGCCTGCAAGTTGTATTCAGTGATTTTGAGCTGTCATTTTTCCTCCTCTTTAAGTCAGGTTTACATTATATTGCTGTCTATCTGTGCCCTCAGCTCATTGGCTTTATTTGCTCTGATCCTTCCATTCACATATCACAGCTAAGTTCCCATGCTGTGCATTTTTTTTTTATCTTTGCTTCTTCTGTTTTTCAAAATTACTCACTAATATTCTGTCTCCCATTCCCAGTTTGAATTTTTCTGATCTGAACCTGCCCTCGGGTTTCTGTCTCCCTACTCAACCTCAGTGTGTTTTGCCTTTGTTCTCAGCATAGCAGGTCCATTCCATCCTTTTCACAGCTAACATTTATACCTATTATACATCTCTGTCACTCCTTTATCATCATTATCACAGCCTTTGACTTTTGCTCTGAGCACCCTCACAATCTGTCTCACTTGCTCCTTTTCCCCTTCCTTCTACAACATAAAAAACATGATTTTCCAGCCTTTTCAGTTCTGAAGAAGAATCATACTGGACTTGAAATGTTAATTCTGTTTCACTTTTCACAAATGCTGTCAAAACTGTTGTGTTTCTCCATGTTTCTAATCTCCTATTCTATACTACTTAGTCTGAGAGACTAGAAGCAACCCTGAGATTACTGTTTTAGGTGTTCTGCTTTTCAATCTTCTTCATAACTCCCTGAAATCTGCTTTCAAGTCCTCATCTCCTTTTCTACTTAAGTCATTGGCACTAATGTAGATCATGATCTCTGGCTGTTCATCTCCACCTGTATATAGCCTCTTGAAGTCATTTCACAATATCTTTGACCTTGGCACCAGGTAGGCAACGTACTATCTTGGAGTCACATCTAAGGCCAAAAAAAAAGCCTGCCAGTTTCCCCGACTCTCAAAACCCTGAATAATACTATTCTTTAACTTTTCCTTTACCCGTCCTATCCAGCTGAGCTGTCCGTGGTGGCACAAACATGGCTCTCTGCCTATTCTCCGATGAACCTTAACTGTATCCAATACAAGTGATTAGTGAGCGATATTTTAGAGGATTCCTACACGACTTGCTTGTTTCTCCTGGGACAGCCTGGTTGCCACCATTTCCCTTTCTGTCTCCATTTTCCTCATTAGTGGTGTAGCCACCTCTGTGAATGTACTTTGCATGTAGCTCTCAAGCATGCAGATGCACCAAAGTGACTCCAGACTCTAGACCTGGAGTCTTTAGTCGGCGATGCCCATGTCCTGTGAATGAATAAAAAAAATGCTTTTCACATGACTTTGCTACCCTGCCACGCCCTAACTTTACTTCACTTATTAAACATCACAACTACTGATAAACTCAAGACAGGTAATGGTGTAATAGTACTGTCACTGGGCTAGTAATCTATGTGCTGGGTCGATGTTCTGATTCCCATAGAATCCCTACTGTGTGGAAGCAGTCATTCGGCTCATCAAGTCCACAAAGATCCTCCAAAGAGCATCAGACCTACCCCATCCCTCTAACTCCACGTTTCTTATAGTTAATCCACCTAGCCTGCACATCCCTGGACAGTACGGGCAATTTACAATGGCCAATCCACCTAACCTGCACATTGTTGGATTGTGGAAGGGAACTGGAGCACCCAGAAGAAACTTATGCAGATATGGGGAGAATGTGCAAACTCCAGTAAGTTATCCAATGTGGAATCAAACCAGGTCCCTGGCGCTGTGAGGCTGCAGTGCTAACCACTGAGCCACTGTGCCGCCCATAATGAGGACATGGATTTAAATCCACCAGGGTGGATGGTGAAATTTGAATTAAATAAAACATTTGGAATACACTGGCATGATGGATACCATGTAACTACTGTCAACTGTTGCAAAAACCTGTCTGATTTTCACTAATATCCTGTAGGAAAGGACATCTGCCATCCTTACCTGGTCTGGATTACATGATACAAAACCCACAGCAATGTGGTTGACTCCTAACTGCTTTCTGTTCAATTATGGTTGGACAATAAATCCTGACCTAGCCAGAGACACCCAATTCCCATAAGCAAATTTTAAAAACATTACTGGTACTGATAAATTCCCAATAAAGAATTCCTAATAGCCTGGTTATTCACCAAACAAACAACTCATGACTTTCCCATGTTGTCACTGATTTTATTTCCTAATCTGGTGAAGCAACAGCCATCAGAATCACCTACTGTCTCACTGTTACTGCAAGGTAAGTGCCCTGGATCCAATCTATTGGAATTTGTCAAAGCTCACCCTCAGATGTCCTCTGCTTGACTTTTCTTCTGGGTGCTGCTCATTGCTTGTCTTGTGGTCCTCCTTTTGCCTGTTCTTCCAGACCCTGTTGATTGCCATGGAATAAACCCCAACCCTGGAAACTGATGTACAGTTAGTGCCAAATTTGTAACAGGCAGAAATTCCATTATTTTTTATTCATTCATTAGATGAGGACATCGCTGGCTATGCCAATATTTATTGCACATTCCTAATTGTCCAGGGGGCAGTTAAGAGTCAACCTCATTGCTGTAGGTCTGGAGTCACATGTAGGTCAGATAAGGTAAGGATGGTTGTTTCCTTCCCCAAAGGACTTTAGTGAACCACATGGGTTTTTCCTCAGCAATCCATAATGGATTCACAGTCATCATCAGATTCTTAATTCCAGATTTTTTATTGAATTCAAATTCCACCATCTGCCATGGTGGGATTCGAACCTGGGTCCCCAGAACATCACCTGGGTCACAGCGAAAATATCAGTCAACTTATCATCTCCCTGGTGTCAGACCTCAAAGTAGGGAACATTGATAAGCTTTGTTAAACCATGAATGTTTTCTACAAGCAAATTCTATGCTTGCTGTTCACACAAAAAAATTGAATTGTCAAAAATAGTTTAGAAATAAGTGATCCCACTGAATGCAGTGTGCATTCCAATAAATACCGCTAACTAGTCTATGAAATAAATTTTTGTCTGAATTGAAAATCTGTTGCATTAGCGGAGAAGTCCTCACTCCATTTGTCTGAAGCTCTGGTTGTTGGTTTAGTATAGTCGCCAGCTCATTAAAATGTGTACATTCTGTCATAAAATGATACTCAAAGAAATGGCAAATAAGTTTGTTCAAGCTAATATTGCTAACAATAATTTCTGAGTGATAATCTCATAGTTGGGAGATAAACATGGAGCAACATTAAAATATCAATGTGATTGATATAGTCTCTGCAAGTTTATTTTCCTTTCAAACACACATTCATTTACATTTTTCACGGACAAACACAAAATACCTGGTCTACTGTACAGTCTATAGATTACAAATTCTAACAACAGAGGTAAAATATGCACCTACATAACCTTCAGGTTTAGACAACAACATAATTTTTTTATTTTGATGTTTATATAAAGGGATTACAACATTGATCAAACAGCTGTTTTCAATAGGTCTATATGACACCACCTCACCAAGCTTTCACAGGCAGTAAGCATGATCCGGGGTGGGGGATAAGTTGTGTTGAAGAGGGTTTTATTTTAGTAACTGGGATAATTACATAGATAATAAAACTTGCAAGCTTGAACGAATATATAGAAGGCAGTGGTAGACTTTGTAGAATGTACAAATGTGGCAGTTCAGTTTCAAGTTGTCCACCAGAAAGGCCTCAGTAAATATTGGCCTCTGTATCTCCAGTCTGCACAATATCTGTAAACTTTTATTTAATAATAAACTATGTTCAGGTTGGACTGTTCCCGTTATGATACTTACTCATCTACCTGCACCATACTATCTCATTTTAATTACAGCTCCAGATGATCAAAAGATGTAGAATTCAAGTTCAGCAATGACAAAAAAATAAATAATTTTGTACAAGGAAAGGGAAGGGATATTTATAAGAGGAGTGCAATTTTTGTTTCACTTTGGATGCCTAGTGTCAGCATTAAGCCATAAGTCAGGCATAGCACAATATATACACAACAAATCTCTTTTTGCTCTATCCCAGTAAAATGGTTGAGTCCCAAACACAGAAGTGTCAGCAGTGTGGTTTTACTTTTTATTTTCTGCCTTCCTTTTGTGTTTGTATGTTAGTATTGGTTTTGTATCATGTCTAATAGGAACGGTATTAAAATGGTCAAAAGTTATTTTATAGGGAATCTGAAAGTCAACAGTTAGAGGAGAGTTTTATTCCATCAGTCTCAGCAACAAATACCTACTGTATAACTCACAGTACTGCTCGATCCCAGAAAAAAATTAACAGATCACTACTGTACAACATACCCATTTCTTATTGTTTGTCAACAACACAATTAAGACTTCAAGGTCAATGAGGAGTGTGTACTAAAATGAAATTTCACACAATCAGAAACCTATTCATACACACAGTTCAATATACATTCACACAGAGAAATAATTTTCCTGGCACTCTTCACAAAAAATGGTCACTGAAGACATCACACATATTCAATACCTTTGCTACACAGGCAAACTGTATTTTTCAAAATAACTTTACATAGTATCACATACATTTACACAAGACCAACATGTCTCTGAGGATCCGCAAATCACACGCCATGCTAGCAGATACTGGCTCTAGTATATCATATCCAGGGCTTGATTTGGTATCTACACGTGAAATATATTCAATTCCTGGAGGCACCGAACAGCTATGAGGTATATCCCTTGTGTCAGAGGACAGATTTATGAGGAAAAACTGCAGAAATGTAGGCTCTTCAACTCTGAATGGAGGTGTGTGAATAGAATCTTATCGAGTTGTAAAAGGGAATACAAAATGTAGAAAAAACATGCCCAAAATCTGCACTACAAAAGTAGGTCAAGGGAAACAGATGCTTACTGGTGAAATGGAACTTTAAGACAGATGCTAGGAAATTCCTTATCATTCAAAAGTTTTCAATGTTTGAAATGGAGTGTGAAAGCAAGATCATTCAAGTCATTTGCGAGGCAGTTAGGCATGACCATGGAGGGACTAGATAGAGATTAATGGTAAAGGATTAATCAAGTGGACTCCCTTAAGCATTTGCTCTATGATATTATACATAGCTGATTTTTAGTGAATGGATATTTAACTATCTTTAGAATGTTTTCTTACCTGTTCAATTTGAATAAAGTTTAGTTTTATTCCACAAATACACAATGGGTGAATTTTCATGAGGTCCTCCCACTTATTTATTTGGCAGATGAGTTGTGGGAAACCTTAAGAAAACAATTTGAATTCACTCATATGCTTTACAGTGAGGAAATTCTGAACATTGCATTTTTGTATCTTTTTTCCAAAAGATTTAAATGATGGAAGCTAAATGTCATCTTGTTAAAGATGCTTGTCTAACGTATCAGTGATTTGCAAATGGCTAGATAACTGACTGCTCAAATTTGAAGTGAAAGCTGATTTGATACTAAAATGTCTTTGACTTCAAGTCCTATAGTATGTAACTTTGCACAGATATCTGCATTGAATTAGAGATGCACTATATATTCTGAAATATTGCACTTATTGGCCTATTGTCCCTCAATAGAGGCTACACAAAAATATAAAACGCAGATTACTTCAGCACCTATGCACCATTTTACAATTTCTTCCATCAGATAAAAATAAAAATTCAGACACCAGAAAGATAACTCTTGTTACAGCTAATATTACACATTACATAATACATCATTTTCTGCAGCTAAAAATAGTTATTTCTGTAATTAGTTTACTTATGTGGCCTAAATGCTGGAAAAACACTCTTCTGAGATTTTTGAGCTACCAAGGGAATGGTAAACTGTCAATACGTTTTTAAGAAGAATCTTGAATATTATGAAAATTCTCAGTGGATAGAGATCTATATTCCTTCTACAACAAACTACAAAATATCTCCAAGATGGCGGGGGAGTAGAACTCCTGAGGCAGAGCTCATCCACTCTGTTGGTTTCTTTTCTTTTTTTCTCTTTTCGTGTTTTTTTCTTCTTACCTCCCGTCCTTGCGTGGCATCAGCGATGTCCAGGGTGAAGTCAGTGCGGACTCCCAGCCTCGAGAGCCTTGAGGTGAGGCCCAGCCTGGCTTGGACTGGAGGTGAGGCCTGGCTTGGACTGGAGGTGAGGCCCAGCCTGGACTGGTGGTGAAGTCCGACCTGCACTAGAGGCCAGCGCGGACTTGTCTGCTCTGTCCTCTCTGCTCGGAAGGTCTGTAATGCTGAACTTCTTATTTCTTTATCTTTCTAATGTATTCCTAGGAATCTGTACTCAGGTACCTTTGTCCCTAAGATGGCACCATAAGTGGCAACTTTGTAAACTTTTTGCTGTACTCATGTGATTATGTGTGACAATAAACCTAATTCTACCGGTGGTAAATTACAAATGAGGCTGGTCTGAAACAGGTAGCTGGGGACTGGAAACGACAGTTACCAAAACCAAAGTTACACTGCAGGTTCCAACTGTCTAACTTACACTGTGTCTAGAAGGACAGGTCTCTGGAAATGTGCACTCTGGTGAATAATATTTAATGTTATGAAGGCGTGTCAGTAACATCTGCTTTCTCATAACATTTTAGCAACTCAGTTTCAAGTCTTTCAAGTATCCTCGAGATCCAGTGAACTGGCTGAACATCTTTGAACACTGTTTCATGTGTCATTAGAGCTGTATCTCACTCTTTGATTTGTGAAATGGCTTACCGGACGTGGCTCTGAAAATCAGGACCTGATTCTGCAAGTTATACATTGTATTTGTTGTGTCAATATAAACAGGCAATGTATTGATATGAATGTGATAGCTGACTGTCGCTTGAGGCTGCTTGCAAATATCTTGCACAGCTTTTTTTTTCAAATACTTATTATGGATCAAGGAAACCTCACATTGCTAATTCCTCCTAAAAGTAATGTATGAGTATTTACTACTGTACACAGAATACTCATTCAAATATTCAAACTAACTTCGAGTAAGTTAAATGCATACATTTTGTTACTGAATTCACAGTTTTGTGCAGACTGAGGATAAGGTGTTTATCATTAATTCATCATTGAGGGAATGCTTGGAAGGCCACATAAATCTAGTAAGCAGGGAGATCTAAGAAATTTAGAAATATAGTACACTTAATGTAGGAACCCACTGTTCCTCTTAACAGTCACATAAACCTTGAATCTACAGAAAATTGCATAACCAATACCAATATAAATAAAGATTGGATAAGTCAGTTTTAATGCAAGAGGTCTTGGGAAACAGTGCTGTGCACAGATTAGCAAAAAATAAATATAGATTGGTTTGTTTAATATTATATAGAGGCCACACAGTAACATTTTCATGGACTAATAACTAAGGACTAATCTTTAGACACAATTTGATTTCTTCCATATGTCTATGATCAAGTCACTAACATCCGCAGTTTTGTTGCTGTGGAGGAGGATTCTCTGTGAGTTTTGTGTTTTGTTTTCCTGCAGCAACAGTAGGGTCTGTGTCCAAGCTTTCCGACATCTTCTCACAGATTATATCAACAAGCCGTTCAAATGTTTGCTTTACATTAATGTTATCCTTGGCACTGGTTTCGAAAAATTCAAAGCCTTGGGGAAAGAATAGAACATATTAGCTTTTCAATTAACAGTTGCTAAATAAAAGAGCAGTCTGTGTGCAGCAATTCTTTGTTTTTTTCTCTCTCTCTGTGGATCAGAGGATGAACTGCAGATTTACTAATCCAGTACTACTTTGGCCAGCTGCTAAAAAGTATGTGAATGTTACCTGAGTAATTATTAAAATCACTGTAAATTAACTTGGCAGAAACTGCTAATCTTGGCTTAAAAGCTCCCAACTGAGCCATTTTAAAGATGGAGTACCCACCATCTTAAGGTTTGCCTTCGACTCCTGTCTTTGGCACTGATTTGACTTTCAGCCTTTGTTTTGTGAAGGCAATGATTCATGTTTCAGTAGACTTCCAAGTACTCCCCAGTACATGTGAGCTCAGGCAGTAAATGCTAACACCTTAATTAGCAGTGGGGATATTCTCACCAGACTGTCCCATGTAGCAATTTGCGGCAGGAATTATTGGATATTAATCAACAGTGGGACCTCTGATCTTTTTCTAAATTGTAATCACATTAATCTGTTCAATGCAAATAATTTTCTGATTGAAAACAGAAATGCCAAACATCAGTGACTATAATGATCATATCATTACAGGTAAATACTCAAAGGTAACATCAACTTAATCCATTTTGGTTTCAAAGCCATGTTGAATTAAAAATATTTCTAATACTGGTTGTCACTTTAAACTGTAGAAATGCTTTTACAGATTATCCTCATTATTATTGTTCTAGTCTCCTTTTTGTTTTAGTTCTGTAATTATCTTTGGCATGCAGGTGTGATATGCAAGGCTATAGACAACCCCATAGTTTATTGCAGACTAGATGCTTGGGGTAGGTAATATCAAGAACTGACTGTGAGGGGTATGATTTATGAATCATTAACTCTAATAGGTCTATAACTAATTTTCTCCAGTGGTATTTAGTAATTTTACTGTATCTAGCTGAAATGGAAGTTAACATAATTATACCAGCTGACTTAATGAAGTGCCTGATTTAGCTGGATGAGTTTTTGAAGGATACATTTAGCTATGAAGAATGGGGCTAAGTGCCACATATATTGAAGTTATTTTGAGTATTTAAAATGAGCATACAACTTTGCTGCTCCTGTTGCTTATAGCTATTCCTATGGGAGATCTGTTCGTCTGTTTATCGTAGCTCATCTGCAAGTGCTCTGTGACATCCATGATCCAACAATGCCGAGGTCAATCCCTCCTTCTGGTCCCCTCTGGAAGATACCTGTGTAGATTTTCAGCTCAAATCAAATGGCTAAAATAGTGACATTCTCTTTTCTGGAAGTCACTCTTTTAGATTTCTTTTAGCCTTTTCAATTTCAAACATCTCTTCATTATTCTTAAGTTCAGAAAAGGGAAACTTTATCAAAAGTCTTAGCAATCATATTTCAAAGTCTCTATTGTTTTCCACAGAGCTTTACTTATTGACCAGGTTACAGAGGCGTATGGCAAAGTTTTAGAATGTAGCATCTTATGAGTCTTTCCCTCGCCACAAGCTTCAGTTTTCTTGTTAACATATCCCTTCATGTTCGGAAAATTACTTCTGCCTACCTCTATCCTTTCTCTAAATTGGTATTGCATTGACCATCCTCTTGTATCAGTTGTCCTAAATACACAAACCAATCTACTTTCTTCAGTGTGAAACAATCCTCTTCAATCTTCACTCTAGCTCTTTCTAATATATTCGTTCCATCATTGTTTAGTTTTTGGTGTTCATAAAATCTATATTCTAATTTTCCAGATTTTACACGATCTATGATATTTTGTAGAAAGTATTCTGATTCTGCAAGTCACACTACGTAGTCAGCATACAGCAAGCTTATTATGTTCTTGCCTACTGGAACTACATCTAAAACATTCATTCTGCGTACGAATCAAACATTTTGGCATCATACTCATCATCGTATTCTTCTCTGCAGTTGAAACATACCTGACTGTATCCCTTCTTGTTGTCTGTTCACTATTTGGTCCCTATATAGTCTTTATACAGATATATGATGTAATATATATCTATTTACACTCACTTTTAATTTCTGTTGCTGGTTGGGAACTGTTCTAAGTAATTTCCACTCTACAACAATCTAACTTATTGGCACCATCATCTACCCTTTCCTTTGCAATTCTTTGCTATAGCTCAATCTGATTTTCTTCCACTGCTTATGGGTGATCCACATCCAATTTGATTATTTATTCGTTCTGATAAAGTGGAATCAACTTATGTTCAAGATCTTTCTCAGTTGTTAAAGCATCTAGGTTGGCTTTCAATTGCTATATTTACTCTCAAGTGTGTTCTCACGTCATGAAAATTGATGTTTTTCTAATCTGTAAAAAGCAATGCTTTATCGGAAGATGGAGAGAATTCATTGTTAAAATAGTCTTTAGATCTATCATTTGGCAGAGCTGATTATACCACCTGGCCCCCTCTATCTACTATAAACCATGTCTGATTTAAATTCTAATGAAATCAAAAGATAGTTTATTCCCTTAATTACAAATGCATCAGAACAAACATTTGTCTGTTTTCTTGATTAGAATTTCTTTTTCTTCCATAGGTAGACACTCCACTTTAACCATTGAACAGACTGGAAATACAAATGAGATAAATTCAGATTTGCACCGGTGACATGCAATTTAGAGTGTTGAAAGTCATCAGGGTAATGATAAATTTCTTTACACATTCAAATTATGCCATTAAATACATAATAGCCTATATAGCTATTTAAATTTTTCAGAAGAGACCTCTTGAAATAACAGTCAGGATTGGATGAGCTATATTATACACTTTAGAAGCTACTTTTAATGTCTTGTGAACCTCAAACTTCAACTGCTTCTGTTCTTTCACAGAATCCAACCTTTCCCATATTCAAGTATAATAGTTACCCAGTTTTAACTAAAAAGTACTTATTTATACATCCTGACTTTGTGGCCAAAATTTTACATGTCACTGGGGTGGTTCAGCAGACAATGGGAGGAGTGGGGGTGGTAAAATTTGATGTTATACTGGTAAGGCCAGCACCATGATCATCACTTACCCACCTTACTGGTATATTACCCAGAGAAGGGTTTGTATTGGGTATCACTCAGCCATTAAATGGCCATCTGAGTGCCTCCTCCTATTGCCATTGGTATTTTACCTGCAGCATACAGAGCCAGATGCCCAGGTTACCAGATTGCTGGTCAGGGAGTGTATGAAGGGAATGTGTCCGTGTGCGCATGTCTGCCTGTCTGTCTGATTGGGTATCCTACGGCTAAGAGAAGGCCCCCAAAGGCAGCTTCTCCACTTACTTTTCTCCTCTGTCACCCAGCCACAACTGCTCTCTCCCACCCCTCCCCCATCCCCCAGGCTAGGACCTGTCAGTTTTGCCCTGTTGAAATCTAAGATTAAGTCTGAACCAACGGCTGCTTTCTTCGGGGAGTGCCTGTGGTCCCAGTAGTGACCTAGTCAAGATGATAGTCACATGGCTGACAGCTCTCACAGACATGAATGCCCCCTTGGTGGGAGCAGAAGTCCTGCCTCATGTCAAATATTAACTGATGAGTTGTCAGATGACCCAGGAGGCAAACTTATTCCTGACTTTTGAGCTTGGGTCTGTGATCGCATGATGTGATGTAACTATTGCCTTTGCATAGGATTCTGGCACCTATTCCATAAAAGCAATCTATTTTTATGCTCATTTTATTCTCTTATCAATGCATCCTTTTTGCTTGCTTTGATCCTTACAATTATTATTGTTATGCCTTCATCTTTGGCAATGTGTAGACAAGGAAGTGCAGTAGCAACCCTGTACAACACCATTCCCCACTCCGAATATTCTGGGAAGCTACTGTCAACTCCCATTTTGCATCGTCCCTTGTACCTAGTTACTGAATTCAATTTTGCATCATATCTTGTAACATCACATTCATTAATCTTTTCCAGTTGTTTTCCAGAGGGTTTTTTTTTGTGAAACAACTGTCATAAAATGATGTTGGCCATATCCAGCGCAACACCCTCATTTATCTCTTCAAAGAACTAATCAGATTTTTCAACCATGAGCATTTCTTTCTAAAATCCATGGTGTCTACTCCTTAAATAAAACAAAGAACCGCAGATGTTGTAGATCTGAAATGTAAAATGAAATTGCTGGTGAAACTCAGCAGGTTGGTTGGCGTAGTGATTGTTCTGATGGAGTCACTGGACTCAAAACGTTAACTCTGCTTTCTCCCCACAGATGCTGCTAGACCTGCTAAGTTTCACTAGCAATTTCTGTTTCTGTGCCTACTTCCTATTTGCTCTTCATTTCGATATTTTGCCATTTGATTTTTATAATGTCTTAAAATGGGTAACCCTTTACTCTGAGACTTTGCCTCTCATCCTAGACTCTTCTACAAGAGAAGACATGATTAGACATAAATAGAACTGTCTTAAAGAATTGAGGTTGATGTTAATTTGAATTACATCAGAAACAAATACAATACTGATTTGATAATATAAGGGTGGCACAGCGCCTCAAAGTGCCAGGGACCCAGTTTCGATTCCAGCCTTGGGTGACTGTCTGTATGGAGTTTGTACATTCTGCCTGTGTCTGCGTGGGGTTCCTCCTGGTGCCCCAATTTCCTCCCACAACTGAAAGATGTGCAGGTTAGGTAGACTGGCCATGTGTCCAGGGATGTGTATATTAGGTGGGTAAGCCATGGGGGATGCAGGGTTACAGGTATAGGGTGGGGTGGGCATGTGGAGGAGTTGAGGGTGTCGGTGTAGGTGTATGGGGGAG